ATTTAAACCATTGCTCAATTGATTTTGACCAAAAGATACCACTGGCAAAAGATTGAAAAATGAACCGAAGAACATCCTAAACATTAGGATACTAACAAAATCAATTATATCAAGGTGAATAATAAAGAGCAGTGTAAGAACCCGTCAAAGAAAGTAACATTTGGGGGTGAATGGATTAGAAGTCCATGAACGTAGGTTCATAGGAAGATGTTGTACATAAAATGAGACAAAGATTTGTTCCAATTATGTTTCTTCGATCAATGAAAAAAGCAGGAAAAATAGAGGACGTTAACAAATGGAGAAAACTCAATAGTGACTACAGTTGCAGTGTCTTGACTATAAAATGAAAAAAAATTATAGTGCATACTTACTTCAAGCATCGTCGTCGTCATCGTCGTCCTCCTCCTCTTCATCATCGTCCCCATCCTTGTCGTCATCCTGAGAGTCATCCTCGTCCACTTCCTCTTCCTCGTCCTCCTCGTCCTCCTCGACCTCGTTATCAAGCTCGTCCTCTTCCTCAACCTTTGTTGTGCTCTTGTTTCTAACTTGCTCACTCGAACTGTTCGTCGAATTTTTTGGAGGATTTTTACAAGTTGAGGCATAATGACCAAAAGCACCACAATGGCCACATTGTCTCGATTTGACGACCTTCCCCTTCTTGTTCTTAGTCAGCCGACCACCTTTAAATCGTGTCTGTACCGGATCGTTAACATCTTTATAACGTTCAGATGCATCACCGTGATCATCTTCACCAGGCTCTAAGGAAGAACCTTTACTAAGAGTACTCAATCCCTTCAATTTCGCACACAATGCTGAAATCTCTGCACGAGCAACTTTGAACATACTTGGAGATTCGGCAGCTAAGCATGTCAATTGTAAGTTGTGGTACTATATAATGCCAGATCTCCATATGCGTTCTTCTTCCTCTGATGGAGTGTCATTTCTTTGAAGTTTTTCCATAGTACCTTTTGGGTCTTTTCTCCACACCGGAAAAACCAACTCCGAAGGCAACTCTTTCACTCGCTGCTCCCGTAATACAGAAATCATGTGTGCGCAGAGCATACCGGTACTACAAAACAGCTGCACTCCATTTCTGATGTGGTTGGTTGATATGTAACTTCTATGACAACCTCGGAGTCTTCATACATTGTCATCTCATAGACACGGTGAGAAGATCTTTCAAAAGATCTGGTCATAATGCATCCATTAGATGCTTCGAGCTGCTCCCGAAATGTAAAAAATGCCTCCCTTGAGTAAAAACTAGCACCACTTATTTTGAGAGATCTCAAACCTGTGTTTCTTAGCTCAGGAGTTCCATAGTTGGACTTGAAGTCTTCTTTAACCTCATTCTCTCTGAAATGCCGCAATGCACGATCAAAATCATTCACAAACTCCAGGAGATTATGCTGACAACTAACGTACTTCCTAATGAATGAATTGACCCCTTCACAACGAGATGTCGTCCGGACGTTAGCAAAAAACTTATCACTTAAGTATGCAGTTGCCCACTCTCGCCGTTTCTCATAAGTGTTTCCAATCCAGCTATTGTCCTCAACTGAAAACTTGGTGATCATTGACCTCCACCTCTCTTCAAACTCCTCAATCCCACAATCAGCAAACATGCAATTCTTGAACGAGAAAAGAAACTTCTTATCCTTCACATGGTCCTTTGCATTACCAAACAGATGCCATGAGCACAAACGATGGATTGCATCAGGAAAAACCTTACTAACAGCATTTGCCATTGCTTTATCTCCATCTGTGACAACGGCATTAGGCTTCTTACCGATTGCTTCCACAAAGGCTTCTAACACCTAATTATAAGATTCTTCAGTTTCATTGTTCATGAGTGCACATGCAAACACACACGTGTTGTTGTGATGATTTACACCTACAAACGAAAAATGTAATGTCAAATTAAAGTTAGCACAATAATTTTAGTAATGAATTAATTAGATTACCGAACTTTTTACAATATTGAACAGACATATGTAGATTGAAATTAAAGCATCACAATATTTCAAAAAACAAAGAATCTTGTAATTCCAATAATATACCTGAGAAGATCACTAGAGGCATATTGTGTAACATCCCGTTTCGTCTAAAACCGTATTTCGATCGCTAGAAAGTTCGCGATTTAAAATCGAGCATTTTGACACTATTTCGACGAAAATCGGATTATCGATCGATCGGATAAGTATACGTATTAATTATATATATAATATATTATATATAATTAATTATTTATATATATATATATATATATATATATATATATATATATATATATATATATATATATATATATATATATATATATATATATATATATATATATATATATATATATAAATAAAGCGGCCGGGCCGCATATATATTAATTCCCTGTCCATTAATTCTCACCATCATCATCGTTTAATTCCATTTTCCACCGAGAGAACAAAAACCAGAGCGAGCGGAGAGAGTACAGGGGAACGTCGGGGGGAAAAACTCCAAGGCTCGATTCTTGAGCATAAGTGATCCAAAAATCCCGTAAGTAATGCCTAATTCATCCATACATCGTGATTTATCGATTTAGAGCTTTAAAACGAGTTTTTGGTTCAGGAATTTCTTGAATTCCCGATAAGCCAAATTAGGGTTTCGGAGTATCCGGAAGCCGGATTGAGCCCAAATTTCATATACGAGCTTCCTGCAGCGAGGGGATATTAGGACGGTCTCGGATTTTAATTCGGGGTTCGTTCGCGAAATTGACGTTTTAGTACGGGAAGGTTAAACCGGTGTTTGAACGACCAGAACTGGTGAGGGATTAGCACGACATACCGGGTTTGTCGTATCACGATAATTATATTGATGCTTAGAATTGACCTAGGTGAACTAGAATGGCATGATTAGGGGTGTATGGACTTTTGTGCTATATGATGAACCCTAGACTGCTGTATGATATTATTGACTTGCCCTAATCGATATGAACTTTGTTTATGCTGATGATTGTATATATGTTGCAAATTGTGGGCTGGACTGTTAATATGCTTTACGATGGTTCGAGAAGGTGATAGGGTATGATTGTTCATGATTGTTGTATTTGGATGCACATGTGGGAAAATATATATTCTCTGGTGATATTATGATGTTTAAGGAGGATGACTTGCACGAGGGTTTATCCCGAGGAAGTGCAATTATACGACTCCTGATTTACCTATGTTGAGCCAATTGTGGCCGGGTCAAGTACATGTGTAAGTAACGAATTATGATTAAGCAAGATGAGATATGGATCATGTATAAGGACATCAAGTAAGAGTGATTTGGTCTCATGGTCAATTACATAGTAATTAGGGCTCCCCATGCTATTACTCCGTTATGATATGTTATGTCACACCCCTGATGTGGTGTTGACCGTTGATTCATCACGAGATATGACCACACCCAGAGTGGTGTTGAGTCCGATATGACCACACCCATCGTGGTGTCAGGTCCGATATGACTACACCGGCAGTGGTGGGTCCGATATGACCACATCCACGAGATGTTTGGTCCGTATTCCCGGGAGAGTAATTAGCATGGGAGTAGCCAGGCGCCTATAAGTAAAACATGATAAGATGCATATGCATAAGTCAAGGTGGTTGAGTCTTTTGCCTATTGGGATGTCGGATGCCTGAGGTCTGATCCTAGTGCTTTGGCTTGTTTGCTAGATGTATGGTAGGGGTATGCTCTGTTATGAACTCACGATGCTATGATTATCTCACTCAGCTATGAGCTGACCCTCTTTTATTCTTCTTCTCTGCTTATGCTATGTGTAAGCATCATCATCAGCAGTAGCAAGTACTTAGGTGTGGGCAGAGCGAGGCGTTGAAGGCAGGATGAGGTATTGTCTTCAACTATTTTTTGCTTGGACGACTACTCGGGATTTTGACCAGTGATCCACACCTTTTTGTAAAAATGTTTTGAGAACGTTTTTCATGTGCATACTAGCTTCTGATGTAGTGTGAGATATCCACAGGTGTGGAAAGTTGATGATATGTGTATATTGTGTAATTATGTAAGTTGTGATGATTATAGCATGTATCAGTATAGTATGCAGTTGTGTAGCATGAAACTGTGACTATGGCTATGAAAAGCCAATGCATATGGCAGTGAGTGTATATGTTTGTCTATGAATGCATGGATTTAGATGAATTATTTTGCAGGATTAGATGGAAGAACTGTTAGCCCATTACGCGAGTAATTCATGTCGAAATTTAATTTGGGTAAATTTTGATAATTAATGTAGCACCCAAGATTAATTCCGCTGCAATTGTATGAACAATATGATTAGGTAATACTCTTAGGGTAGGGTGTTACATATTGTACGCATTTTTCTTGTATGTAGTGTCAAACGATAACACATCACCGAAGGATCCAAAGTCTAGCCTGCTTATGCTATCCGCCCAAAATAACTTCTCCAGTCTCGAGTCATCACCAACTTTGAACTTCATAAAAAACCCATTGTCATTGTAGCTTTTACAACTCAAGTAACTCAGTGCAGCTGTAGCATCACCGTTGCTGATGTTTTCTTTTTGGCACCTATCGACATAGTTATATACGTCTTGCCTCGTATACCCCACATTAGCATACCCACCAGCTGCATTGGACACAACATTCATGATTTGACAGGGCCTCAAACCGCCAGATTTCAAACTTGAGACAAGTGATGCATCTGCTTTACTCAACATACTGTGTGATCTAAGGTGATGAACTTGATGGTAGGGAGCTAATTGATGATTATGCTCATTTCTAAACCGAGTAACATGCCATCTCATGTCCTTCTTCTTCTTCAAAGTGATAAGCATATAAGCTTCACAACCAAACCTCCTTACTACCCTTGGTTCTATTTTTCTGTCTGTAGTTTTCTTTAGTCTGAAACCTGCACCAGAACAAACCCACTTGCGCGACACGATTTCTTTCTTTGTATCATACCGAGTATTACTCTTTCTAATTCCAAACCCAATTGCTCTGGAAAATCTCCTATAGAAAGCTTCACCATCCTGCAAACTACCAAAAGTCATTTTGTAGACATCAGTAGCCTTCAACTTCGATAAATTTTCCCATTCTTCTTCCTCAACATGAATAGATTGTTCGGTTTCTTCTTCATCCACATCGTCAACATGAATAGATTGTTCAGTCTCTTCTTCTTCCCCATTCTCATTTGTCACAGATTGTGCGATTCCTTCTCCCTCTTCATTCACACGACCTTGTTCAACTTCTACTCCTTTTTCCATTCCAGTAAAGGTCTCCTCCACATTTGGCCCTACCCTAAGGTCATTCCTGTAAAAAATGAAATAAAAATGGCTATTAAAGGGAGCCGATTTGTTGATAATATAAAATCACATTTACGGATGACTAACCTGTCCCTTGTCGGTGCAGTACTGCTGGTGGGTTCCATCTTCCACTTTCAACTTGCTTTGTTTTTTCCTCAAACGCCAATATGGTTTAAATGATTGCGTTGTAGGTAAGAGAAAAGCTACATAAAAACCATGTACAAGTAAAGACAGAATCTTTATGTCTTATAGGTAGGAAAAACGACAGAAAAGGAAGACATCCGGTCTAAGAGAACTCTGGCTTCAAAACCATCATAAATCATTGCTACCAGGTCACATATTAAAGTGGCTCCAATCTTTTGAGATAGATATTTCCATATTAAATTCAAGCAAACATGCAGGTCTAACTAAATAAACGAATAGCACAAAGAAAAAACTGGAACACTGGGTTTGTCTACAAGACAAACCAACGAACGGAATACACAAATACAATGAATCATTTCGGAGGTCCAATTTCACAGCTTTGCCAATGTGAAAGGCAAAACCTATATGAGAATGGCCCTATTTTACAGCGAAAAACAAAATAATTTCTGTGCAATCAGCAACTTCAATACTTCATAATTCCAAAAATAAACGAAAAAAGAGAAACACGAACGAATCACAAAGCCAACGAGGACAATGCTTACTCCTTTGAGACTAAAAATACCCTAAAATAGACAGAGGAAGAGACAGTACCATTGTCCATACATCAACAAAGCCCCATGCTCAAAATCACTAAATCAGAGGGAAACCAAGAAAACAATTCAGGAGCAGTTCACACACACCGGAAGGAAAAACGCAAGGTGCGTTTCTTACCTTTGACGACTCCCGATCCCGGATACGTGAAGAAGCAACAAGTCGGAACTGAATTGGAATGCCAGGTGAGATTCAATCCCAATTCTACGTGGACGGCAAACACACTCGATCAATCGCGAAAGTGGTGATGTCGGCGACTGGGTAAAAAAAAAACGGAATTGAGGATAGGAGATTTTCGACTTGGTTTTCATTAAGTTTTATGTATTATACAAAGCAAAAACGCTGCGTTTGAAACCTTGTCCTTTGTTCCGTAAAAAAAAAAAAGAAACCTTCTCCTTTGCACCAACTGATTGCTACCCTGTTCCCGGCAAAGCCGCGCAGGGGAATAACTACACCACAGCCGAACGTTTGCTTGCACTCCGACTCCAGCTTCTGTACAGTTGGTACACGTTGATTCCCGGGAAAGCCCAATAAAACAAACGTGTCGAGCTTCTCGGAGTCGCTGAGTTGGAGTCGGACGGAGGTTGAGAATCGTCGGGGAAACAAATACTCGATCGAACCTTGCTCTGCTCCGTTCCATGTCGATTTTGCTTTACGGAGAGTCTGGCACCTCTCACCTTGCTCCGAATCCAGCTCCCAACATATCCCCAACTTCTCCCTCCATCGGTACCACCCCATCTGCTGCTTTCCCCCAACTCTCACCACCGGCGGCACCCCTTTCGTTCTAATCCCCATTAGTCGCCTCCAGGCCGTTCAACATCCTTCGCTCGTCGATCCGGTCCGTGGCCTGCAACCCTACAAAATAAAAACAAAGGATTAATTCAATTCAATAAACAGGACCTTCCTCCCTTGATCGGTAGCTTCACCAGAATTGATTAGGAGAAGGAGGGATTTCGACCTCCCATCTCCAGATTCTGCCTCTTGAATCCCATTCCTCGACTATGAACCTTGAGCTCTTCTCCCCAAACTTCGATACGAACGACAGCTGGGTTTGTCGTCTCCACCTAGAATCTAGATCTGCGTCGTTGGTTTTGTCCTTCTCGAAAGATGCTCTGTTGCTCGCTGGTGGCCGATTGTTTGATTGAAGGGGCAGGTTGGAGAAACGCTGGATTGGATTGAAGGGGAGTCAGGGTCGGATATGGGGTCAAGGTCGGAGATGGATCTTCCTTTCACGATCACAACTCTTCTCCCACCACCCTCGCCAGCTCGCCCGTCTCCGGACCTCTTTCTGTGGCTAATCCTTCTGGCAACTTCCCCATCGGATTCAACTGAGTCTTCGTCGCCGTTCCTCCTTGCATGCCGCCAATTCCATGTTTCCCGGCGAATTGATGAAGCAAGAATCGGAGTTGAGATTGGAATTGGAGAATCAGAAGGAGAATTAGAGGATAAGAAGGAGATATCGAGAAGAAGAAAGAGAACAAGAACAGGGAGCAGAGGAAGGAGGAAGAACAAGTACAGAGGAAGGAAGGAGTAATTTGTTTTATGTTCTCTCTTTTGCTATGAGGGATTAAATTAAGTGGTCTCTGATGGGTGAGAGGAACAAGAGGGTTCGGGGTAAGAGGAGAGAATAATCGGGGAAGAAGACAGTTAAAGTCAGGGGCCTAGTTGCAATTACAATTAAGTATAAATTGTTTTAATAAATATAATATAGTTGATTAGTTAATAATTAAATCTAAATAAATTAAATTATTGGAACCGTTAGATGTGTTCAACGGTTGAGATTAAATAAAAAAGTGGGTGCACCGAAGTGGCCACCATATATATATTAATTTATAACTAAGAAAAAAACAGGCAAATCAAAGGGAGAGGGGTACCTGAAGTTCTTGTTGCACGATCTCCCCGTTGTGAAAAAAGAGTACGGACAGCCTACAACAATGTATATGCCTAGGATTAGGAATGAAGCCTAAACCAACTTGATGGTATAATTGAAAATTTTCCCATCCATCTGATATGCTAGTAAAATAAAGAGTCATTTCCATCCAGAAATATTGCAACGAAGAGGAACAAATTTTCCCCTATTCCTCTTTATCTGTTAAAAGTTAAAGGCTAGGAAATATTAAGTATATATATATATAGGTAGCTACTTCGGCGCACTCACTTTTTTGGGTGCACTCAGTGCACCCACTCTAAAAGTGTCCACATTACATCAAATTTTGAACTTTAATTAGTATTCTCAATCTAATATGATGATATGACATAAAATCATAACAAATCAATCTATTACCCTAACCCCTTAACCTTCAATTTTGAATCCCAATTCAAAATCTCAAAATTTAAACCTAATCCCTAACCCTAAATCCCTAAATCCTAAATCCTTCAAATTAAAGTAAATTTTGAATGAATTTTTTTCAAATTCATGTGCTTCTTGTTCACAATATCATAAGCAACAATTGATACCGTTTTGACATGAATCACATGCTCAGAATGACAATTATGAGGCGGGTGCACTGAGTGCACCCAAAAAAGTGGGTGCACTGAATACGCCACCATATATATATATATATATATATAACGGAAAACAGTAGGCAATTCAACGTGAAAAGAAAAAAAAAACAGTAAAAGAAAAACAATAAGTAGATGACAGGTAGGAAAGAGAGAGGGTGTACGATGTACCTCAAGTATCTGTTCCATGACATGACGTTCCCCTTCCCGTCTTCGCTCCGTCGGCGAGCACGGCGCGGCAGAGACCTGCGAGGAATTGCGGAGAGAGAGCGACGACACCGTGAACCCTTTTAGCAAATTGTGTTAGGAGGATTGGAAGCAGAGATGGAGGAATAAGTGGCGGCAGAAACGAGATGAGAAAGGGGCAGGGGTTTGGGTTTGAGTTTGAGTCTGAATGAAGGAGAGCAGAAGAGATGGAGAACGGCTGATTCACTCCATGTTGGAAGGGGGTTTGAGGAGCCCATCTGCAATCGAAGGCCCAGGCTCACATGATCGATCAACTCAAAACTTCAAGCAGTAACTTGGGCTTAAACTATGAGGAGTTGGGTCGAGTATAAGGGGTTTTGGTGCAGTCCTTGTTAAGATATGCAAAGTCGTACTGTCCATTTGTCTTCTTTATCATAACTACATTTGCTGGTCGTCTTCATAGACTATAGAGAACTTTCTCGATAAATTTTGCATTGAGAAGTCTTGAGACTTCTTCTGCCACTCTTTGGCCTCTTTCCCAAACAAAATTGTGTCACTTCTATTGTATAGGGCAGTTGTCAAGTGCAATCTCAAGTGCATGCTCTGGTTCTGCCACTCAATGATGGACGTCGGACATGTCATTCGATCCCCAGGGTAATATCCTTGGGTGGTCAAAGTGAATCCAGGGTGGACGAGGTGACCCGGGGTGGTCGAACTTGGGTTGACCGGAGTGACACGGTGATAATTGGTATGGGGGGTGGCTGGAGTTACCCAAGGTGCTCGAGGTGACCCATGGTGATTGACCCGGGGGTGGTCGAGGTGACTCGGGATGATTGACCCCTGGGGTGGCTGGAGTCACCCCAAGGTGGTCGAGGTGGCCGGAGTGACCCCAAGGTGGCTGAAATAATTTGAGATGATTGACCCTGGGGAGGTTGGAGTGACCCATAGGTGATCGAAGTGACCAGGGGTGATTGACCCCTGGGTGGTCGAGGTGACCCCAAAGTGATTGACCCCGGGGTGACCGGAGTGATCCCAAGGTGACTTCGGTGGTGAGGTTGTCTCTGTCCAATATTCGTTCGATAAAATAAAATATTTACTTAGGGTTCTCCAGGTTTACTGTCTCGCAGTGCTCAACCTTGTTCGCCTCATCAGGAGTCATCATCGTTTGAAGTATGTGCATGACTTTATGGTTCAATTGAGCAGTTTTTTCTTAGTAGCAGTCCAAGTGCTTTGTTGAGAAGGACCCATCTCGACTGTTCCGGTGTGTACCACCATCCATGGATCCTCGTATATCCCCCAGATGAAAGCTCAAATCCTTTTCTTGCACCAAAGTCAAAAGAGGAGGCCATGAAGAAAACTCTTTAGCATCAATAAACTCACTCAAGGCTTAGCTCTAATACCAAATGTAAATTGACAAAAGGTGATTTTTAGGTTTTTGGAGAAATTGAATAGATAAAGGCATTGAGGAGAACGACGGAGAGAATGATGACGAAAGAGGAAGAACTAAACTATCTCGTATCAGTATTCCCTTCGTTAAGCTAAAACATGAAGACTGGGTCTGAGCTAAGGTACAGGCCTTGTCTAAATAAGACTGGTGGAAGGGGTCTGAGGTCAAACAGAGATGCTCGGCCCACTTGCTATAATATTAAGGTTGAAGCTTGATTAGGAGCACCCGAAACCTCTAGTTGTTCTCAAGGCTAGAACATAGCAATAGAAGTAGAGTACTGCAAAAAATAGAGGTTGCAAGGGAGAAGAATAAGAACACGCCGAGTTTTTATAATATGGTCCACCCATGCAATGGTTACGTCCACGTCCCAAAAAACCGTAGCCGCTATTTCCCAATTATATTTAAGTTTCATATTCTTTCAAACAAGAACACA